TAGCAAAATAAGTGAAAAGCGAAATTCCTTCAAAATCCGGCTATATGCTTGATATCAAAAAATGAGATCACATGTCTACTCTCTACTGTGTCATCGTTTTGCATTTCTGCCTAAAATAGTACCATTCTAATCCAGCTATTTAAAATCAAGAATTGAAGCAACTTTGTATTTCATTCCTTCTATGCAGGACGACCTTCCACTTCTACTTTTTCTTTACAAGAATTAAGTAGTATGACCAGTAGCAACAGTTATAGACAAAGAAGCAAAGCGGAAACAGTAATCTACTGTAGATATCAATTCTTGAAACCCTCCGTTTATTCTTTGTCTTCTTCTCTCCTCCTGCGGACTCTGGTTCAACGCGTTTCCCAGCCTCTGTCATTGCTCCAGAGTCCTTAGCACCGTTGGCAAAATTGCTGTCATCATCATCACCGTCGTCGTCGTCGTCGTAATTTCTATCCTCCATTTCTTCATCAATACCCAGAACAATAGCGTCGTGGATGTCAACCGTTAAGTCCGTATTATTGAAACGAACTTTTGGTTGAAGAATGTCATTTGGGAGGAGATTGGATCGACTCTCAATGTCTGGATAAATGGCTTGAATTAGGGCAGTTTCGAGGTCTACACTGACGAAACCACTATTGGAATCGCTAACATTCTGCTGACGTTGGAGGAATGCTCTACGACATCCGATGCACCACCCCTCCACCTCTGCACGGAGAGCTTCTCTAGCATTCAAGCGCCATCGCTCTGGTCGTCTGGTCTTTGTGCATTGCATATTTGAGGCAACTGCAAATTCAATCAAGACACTGACGTTGAAGATGATACAAGCAATGTTCCATACGTCAATTGCCTTAATGTAGGAGACTCTTGGAAGGTTCTGCGAGATGCCTGAGGCCTGAGTAATCAGTCCGAGAAGAGTCAACAATCCCAGTGCCACTCGAGCCGGCTGAGCTTCAATATCTACCCAGAAGCTATGCCAAGATGCCATGACGATGAGGAAGTTGGTTATGTAGACACTGGAGAACCAGGAACCTAACTGACGCGAAAGAACGAAGGTGGCGTTAAGGCATGAGGAATTTTCGTCAGTCGAAAATGCGTTACAATCCTGGGCTACCACACTCTCAGGACTGTTAAATTCAGCAATTTGCATGCCATCAGAAAGCTCTATGGGTTGAACTGGCCGCCATACAAAACGCAACTCCTTCAAGGAGTATCCGTAACTGCCCATATTGATGTGGCAAGTTTGAGCATCCATAGGAAACGTTTTGAGATCCATTTGACATGAGAATCGCATCGTCATCTTTTGGCTATAGAGAATGTTTCCGTCGGGAGAGATACGCGTCAAATAATTAGGCATGGTCATACGATGAATGCGACCCTCTTTGCCATTGCGGAAAAAGAGATCCGGTAGCCACAATTTATCTTTCAATTTGGGCGAGACCAGGTTTTTGGTGTAATTTCGAAATCGTGGAATATTGTTCCAAGCCAGTCTTGGATCTTGCCATTCTTGTCGCAAAAGTAGGTATGTAGTATAGTCCATCATACGCACATCGACCGAAGTGATCTCCGTTATCGTCATATAGACCGTGACAACGGTAGTCGTCTTGTTGAAGGCTCCTGGAATTTCATAGTTTTGGTAATCCCTAAAGAGGTACTCTAATAACTGCTCACGCAGTGGAACCTCCTTCAGTGGCACCTCTACTGAATTAACCAGGAGGAAAATGCGCAAGAGGTGGAGAATGACCTCTTGCAACGGCATCAGGGATTTTGGTATTACTCGCTGGAAGGAAATGGTGAAGGGACATCAGAGTCATGAATGTCATTGGCTAACGCTTGTGATTGGTCAGATCTGGACGTTGTCTTCACTATAAATGCTTGGCATGTTACAATGACTTGCTTATTAACTGTAAAATAGTGTAAGACTTTTGCCATAGAGGTAAAAAACAGAGCATGAAAAGAATCAGTGAAAGTTATTCTATAGTCCTTCTGTGGAGTTGTTCTGTAGAGAAGCCCCAGTGAACTATTTGTTTTCGCTGCCACACTGCCGAGAACTTTCACGTCTTCGAAGTCGCGGATCAAAAGGCCAAACAAATGAATTATACCAATTTGTACAAGTAAGAATGCTGCTTAAAACAGAGCAACTGAAATTAAGTAGGCATTTTAAAATAGGATTTTGCGAATACCCGAAGTTCATCCAAAAGTGACCTTTTCAAAAACATGCCCTATTATTGAAACTTTTTTTGAGTAAAAGCATTTTAGCAGCTAAAAAAACTTGTGATAAAGTTGCTTTTGTTGTCATCGTTCTGCTCAAATGCATTAAATTACTTTAATCATCTCTTCGCCTTCTACTACCTTTCGTTCAAGCATTCTTAGTGTTGTGAAAGACTGCTCTGTCTGCACAAGTCAAAGCAGACCAAAGGCAAGCATCATTTTCTCCTCCCAGTGCCAAACAGGCCATCCCACCTTGACTGATGACACACGAGTCTGGATGTAAAGAGAAAAGCGCCATCTTTGTTCAACCAGAAAGCATACTTCTAGGCTAGGTAGGTAGCACCACATAAGCAACTTTGAAAATGCAGAATATCTCCTGCTTACCAATTAAGGAAGCACAAAACCCTCCTGCTGTTGGTAATCATCGATGAACTGGTGCATTTGCCTTCGTC